AATAGCCTTGAAATTAGAAACTGAAAAGGTGGATCCACTTTACTCCTTATCCAAATCAATGTTACAGGAACAACCATCCACCTGATTTCTTCAATGCATTGTTTAGCCTGAGTTTTCAACTTGCCTGGAAACTAGCAGTTCAGAGAAACTAAAAGGTGTTGGCCAATAAAATAAAAAAATGTCTGGGATTTAAATTTGTCTATGCATGTTCACCTACATTTACAAAAGGGATGTCCTGGACAGGAACCACAATCTTATTTGGCACAAGGAATTTTGAGTAATAACATTCCATTTCTCTTCATAGAAGGCTTATGATGCGTGCCAATTATGAAAATAGATACCATATCGATGAAACAGAAAATTGATTACCTTCTCTTTTGGAATACCAACAACGGATGCAACATATTCTGCATTGTTCCTTTTGTCACCAGAAAGCATGTACACATCAATTCCTTGCCCAGACAGCAAGTCAACAACATTTCTAGCATCATCTCTGATTTGATCCTCGAAATATATAAGACCAGCAAGAGTATCATCAACACCAACATAAACAACAGATTGATTTCCATGCTCCTCCTCTACCAATTCTTTGAACACATTCTCCGCAACACCATTCCTTCAGGGCAAAAGGAAAAGAAAAATGCTCAGATTTTTAACACAAAAAATGATAAAGAAAAAGAAAAAACTTTCAAATTCACAAAAAAAAAAAAAAAAATCTACATAGATTTCCCATCCTTGTATGCAAGTTATATTTATTTACAGCATTCACTATATTGAATTAATGGCTCCTCAATATGAAGAATATTAAAGAACAAAATTAAGGACAATAATAAAAAAGAAACAAAGGATAAACACTATTTGACCTATTATGGCTTTTTTCATTTTTTGGAAAGAATCTACTAAATTTGGGAATTATGGTTCTTTGAGGTTACGTAAGAAAAGGTAACAAACAGAGTACCGGAAGAATTTACTAGGACCTGGGTATCATCAAGGCTTGAAAACGTGGCCAAACAAAAGAGGAAAACAAGGTTGTTTTAAGTGTAACCAGAGGCTTTTTCTCATCCTCTGGGGATTTGCAGGGGTTTTGTTCATACTCTGCAATTTTTCCTATTTCAGGGAGGAAAAGAGAAGGTTTCAAAGAGGAGTATAAAAACATAACCAAATATTGACAACATATGCACACTTCCAATCAAACACCCAAAAAAACTAAGAAATTGAAAAATTGCCAAACTGCCCTTAAAGAAAGAATACTGCTAGAGAGTAAAAATTTAATATTGCAAGTATCATTAAACAAATACAGAGATTATATTTCATTTCCAGATATTTATGATTAACCCCCGCATGGTAATAAATGGAAACATGATATACACCTAGATAAAATCATGGTGCTGTCATTGGATGAGGGTATATTGATAAGATGGTTCACCATTCACCATTCAGAAGTAGCATCAAATAAACTATTAATCTAAAAGAAAAGAGAAATTTTTGTTACAAACAAAGTTGTTACCATGTAGCTGATTACACAATATTTAAAAGGCTAAGACTATTTCCATTGTGGTTTTTCTGGAGAGCTAAAAATTTCAGCAAAACTCATGTGGGACAAAGAAGAATTTTGGCAGGGATGCATGTTTCCTCCCAAGAGTTGCATGGCAATTGCCTCACCTGATTTAAGCTCACCACTGGTAATCAATTGGATCACAAAAAAAAAAAAAAAAGATAAACCAAACACTGCTGCAGATCTACCACTTAGTCAGCTCATGAGAAAATGCACAGTATACATCAGCAAGAATTAGTTTCAAGTGCAGAATAGATGCAGAAAAGGATAAAAGCAAAGTGTTTCCCATACATAATAAGACCAGAGATTTGCAGTATCTCCCAAATTAGAGATCCACAATGCTGGGTAAAAGGAAACCAGAAATTACCTTTGAACCCACTCTAGAGTGCCAACAGAAACCTTTCTGTTCTCTACAATAGCTACTGCACCAGACCCGGGTTCCTCAACAAATGTTCCATCCAGCACCTGCAAGAATAACTTCTTACATGAGAATTAGAATGATAACTAGGTGATACTCTGGAAATCCTACTTATGGATGCCATGTTATGGGTACATTCTATAACTCAGTTCAGTGATGATTAGAATCCTGTGTCATAATAACTTGGTTTACTGAACAGCAATGCTATAAAGAAAAGCTAATCACAATTCAATATATATTTTCTCTTTGCGCATGCTTTCCTGGTCATAAAAATAAAACTACAAAATTGTTGAAAAATTATACATATGGAACCTTGAAAACTAAATGAAAGGTTTATATGCTGTAGATCATATAAAACTAATCCCATTGATTCAACAGATCACAAAGTGAAAGAAGGACAATTAACATGTCCTCCTAATTGTTCATAATTAAGATTTCTTGCTGTACATTGCAACCATGAAATACAGCAAGGGATAGGTAATTACTTTGGCTTTTTAATTGGCTATAAAACAAAAATGTAAAAAAGCAAATAACAACTTTATTTTATGTTTATTTGTTCCTTTACCTTCTACATTTCACTTTCACATTTAAAACTTCTCTCTATATATGTACATTGAATTTGCATGGATCATGAGTTTATGTTTGATTTTGGCTTCATCAGAAAAAAAAAAAAAAAAGTTCTTGATTGTCAGTGACTGAGAGAAAGCAGAACTCAAAAACTTCATAACTCAGCACTGTTTGTACCTGGAAACTTGCCATGATTTATTTTGAAAACCATAAGGATTTTAAGGAAACAACTTTCACATATCTAGTATCTGTGATTCAGCATTAACATTTCATTTCTTTACTGTTATTTGTCACCTAGTTGCACTTGGTAAATGGAAGGATCCAAGAGATAATGAAGAAGAAAAGATGGATGGAGAATATCATTTGATTATCATTGCTATGTAAGAAACTGCAGCTACGCCAAAAGATAAAAAGAAAAGGCCATCACAGTCATTCCAAGTTAGCATAGAAATTAGTTAGCAAAGTACTGGGAAATTCAAAGCTAAGCTTACGTGCTTCATGATACCGGCTTTGTGCATAGAAGTTGAACAAGAAATTGGATACGAACCCAATTAATAGAGCAATATTCAAAATTAGGAAGGAGTACCTTTGGAAATGGAGACTTAAAAGCCTGGGCAGCTTCCACAATTGCTTTCCCAACAGGATGAACAGTATTTGATTCTACAGCAGCAGCTAATTTCAGAACTTCATCTTCTGACCTGTTGTGTTTTAAATTTTTTTCAGCACCATTAATCCAGTCAATCATTATCTGAATGGCAATCCAGCAAGAGCCATATAGTATCTCCAAAATTCTCTAATTATAACACACAAACAAAAGCGATTCCAACCTTTTAATTAGTTGACTACAATACATACAAGCACATAAAACATCCATGTTTTAGAAACAGATAGAACCTTCTTCATTTCTTATAGAACTCCACACTAGAAACTAGCATGCCATTCAGTTGAGAAGCTAGTCAGCCACCCAACCTTAGCTAGAAAATCTTAATAGAATTTAAAGCACACCTTGCAGAGGAAGCCAGATTGGAAGTCTATTGTTCTTGGCTTGGTATGCTAACACAACTAACTCAGTAACTATATTATTTCCAATTTTCTTTTATCTGATTTAATACCAAACGATTGCTTCAACCAAACAGAGTTTGGATATCCATGTCAATTTGCCAGGGGATCATCCTCTCTATCAAGGAATCCCAAGGCTGTAGATTTTAACATGACTTAATAGCATGCAAAAATCAGCCTTGCAAATTACATTTTTTTTTTTTTTTTGAATGCATGATCCACTAAAAAGTGAGATTTAACAGCCAAAAATAAAGTGATTATCAACCTCTACTGATCACCTTACAGGCCTACCTATGGTTCAGCTTCAAATCATTCAAAAATTCATGTAAGTAACAAAGAATCGTTTCAATAAATTTTATATCATGAAATTGATAACTGGTCCCTTAGCAATAGAATCTGGTTTGCTAAGTACCAGAAAGCATTAATTATCCTTAGAGGTACATCATGCAGCATTTTTCCTGAAATGCAGAAATTAGGGATTGTAGTGATCAGGAAAACAAATTCAAAATAGTAGTACCATTTATAAAAATTGATGCAGATCATTGTAGAAAATTATACAGAACAATTCACTAAAAGTATTGAAATCACATGAACTGATGAACAAGTGTTTAGGTGTAGTTAGCTCCCAGAGATATAATGATTATTTTTGTTTAATGAGCTGCAAAGAAACATTTAACTAGACAACTTGATACCAAGTTGCAGTCTGCAGAAAATGGTCAGCTTTTCCCTTTAGATTTCCATGCTAAAACAAACCAATTCAATTTTTACCAAGGTCAGAAGACCAATTCCTTGTTTCATTTAAGATTCCATTCAAATTGACATAACAAAATTAACACATCATCAACCTTAAAATTTCAATCAGAATCACTAATGTAGAGATGGAGTTTCTGCTACAACTCAACCTTTGATCTGCATGCTCTGTGTCTCCTGGAATTACAACATCTGTCACCACAGGTCTGCCAATTGTAAGAGTTCCTGTTTTGTCAAACACAATTGTATTCACGATAGAGAATTTCTCTAAAACACTTCCACCACGCAGAAGCAATCCCTTTGTTGCACCTAATGAGGTTCCAACCTTATATATAAAATGTAGGTCAGAAAATGATAAGAAAAAGGTAGGTCTGAATGTATATAATCAATCTAACACACAAGTGATGTAGTCTGCATAAAGATGTTACCAGCATCGCAGTAGGTGTCGCCAAACCAAGAGCACATGGACAAGCAATAACCTACAATAAAAGATGGTAGCTTAATATAGCATATGTAACAAGAGAGATTTAACACAACAGATATTTTGACAAAGTGAATAGAAATAAAAGGCATTTTTCCCCAAACTTTCTTGAGACTGTCAATCCTAAAGAAACAACATCCATGCCAGAATACAAAAGAAAAAACAGTTAACATGACCTTTGCAAGACATCAGGATCAAGCTGTGCAACCTTTTCCTTCTTAATGAAATTCTATATTTTTTCTCCTTTCCTAGTCTGGTTATTTTATTGTATTCACATTCATAAATGTAAGCATACCTATGTTCTTTAGAAACTCTCAAATTTCTATCAAGTTCTACATCTGAATTTCCTCAATTTTTTTCCTTCTATTTTGTCTGCACCAGGCAGCTTTCTAAGTTGAGACAGCAAAGAGAAATAGGGCATAGAAATTGGGGTTTTTTTTTTTTTTTTTTTTTTTTTTTTCATTAAAAAAAATTCTTTGATAAAAAAACCAGTGACCTTAATGGTATAAATGGAAGGTTCTACAAGTCATTCATATGCAATATCATGGTCCATATCACTTACAGTGACATTGGCTTCCTGTGGAAGAGAAGGGAAATGTATTCAATTTTCTTGACTACCAAAAGAATTGAAATATATTTCCTCCGAAGAGCTTGTGAAGACTTCTACACAGCAACTAGTATGATATAATGTTATGCAGAACCTTGTTTATGAATTGAATTTTTAAAACAACGTATTCATGTATAGTTTTGTGGATAGTGCATAGATAATAATTTTTTTCTTAACAGATGGGATTTTCCCACAAGTATGCATGTCTATATATCGTACAAAGCTCAAGTCAATTGATTTTTACTTTAATGTTTTCTCGACAAAAAGTGTATCCAAGTGGCCATTGGTTGCAACATCTCTTCCACAAATGATAAATCGTTTACATTCCCTCTTCTGTTCATGTAATGAAGGAACAAAAAGAAACATAACCAAAAAAAAAAAAAAAAGCATTTAATGATGATCATAAAAAATGTCACCATTGACAAGCACAAGTGGAATTATTATTGATCTTATTTATGAAGCCAATCAACAATGCTCTTGATTGCAGTTTATATAGGCATATAATAAACCAAAGAAAAACTATTCAGTCTCTACCACATTCAAGTAATTACAGCATTAAGGACCAACTTGAACATTATCTTGCACTCTACAACCTACCCAATTCAAGCTGTACAAGATAACAAGAATATATTCACTTCTACTAAAGGAGATTTCTTACTTGGTTCTCAAATGGACAATATTTTGCAAAGAACAGATTCCTCTTTAACAAATTCTATAAAAAAAATATGCTTAATGAATGAAACAGGATTAATGGAAACATTACCAGAAAGCAGACTTACAATAGTACTAAGATTTAATTGAATAAGCGAACAGAAACCTCTTCCATAAAATCAGAATGAGGATAGTTATAGGAAAGTTTGAGAAATATAATAACTTCCTACTGAACTGGAAAAGTCTTAGTAATATAATGTCCCAAGTCACCATACCAGAACACTGCAGGAAAGCTGTAAAGCCAGTGAAACTGTATTTCCTTGACAAAAGCCTGCAGAGAGAATGCGTGGACCAAATAGATTCCAGAACATAAATGTTGCAACAGAGAGGGCCATCACTCCATAAGTAAAGTGCCCAGCCACCTGGTGAATATAAATAAAATTTGCAAAACTTAAATAGACATTCTGAAAAATGCAAAACACAAGACAAATGCTCAGCTACCAAAAAGAAAAATTAAGACTAAGAAATTGATATCCGCCATTTTGTAAGTGTAATGCATGTTTTCCCATCCAATATGGCCTGGGTACTTCCAGAGCAATGATGCCTACAGAAAATTGAAATGTTTGTTGGTGAGGTAAGCAGTAGTTACTGTATCACCCCAAAACATAAACAGTGGGGGGCTTTTTGTAAGTTCATAGAGTTCATTTTACAATTAAAAATATATGCAGCCAAAAGCTTTGAAACAAAAAGAATATTTTCTTTTTATATTGTACTAGGTTTTTACATCAAATTTCACTTCACTGTCTTAGTAAAATGCTATGACATTTTCAGGCTCATTCATTAATGCTTTGGGATGGAGAGAAATGGAAAGATTTATGGAAAAAGAATTTCGTAAATCAGCAAACTAGTTTTAGGGAAAATAAATGTGCATTATTTATCAGAGACACTCAAAATTCTAATGAAGCATGGGAAAATAGACCCAAGAGACCATTTTGAAGAGCCAAAACCATTTGACGGTTCAAATACCATTCAGCAATATTCAATTCAGTTGAAGTTGACATAATATCTTGCAATGTAGTCAAAATTTAATGTCTTTAGACAATAGCCCAAAGCAGCTACATTAGAATGGTGGTGATGAGACAAACCTCAATAAAATAGAAAGCAGAGCAAAGACTTGCATATCACCTGGTAAGATTATTCTGTTGGTGACTTGGCTCTACACGTGGAAGTGTATTTATTAAGGAACCTACCCAACATCAGTTAAAGGCTTTGTTTGTTTTCATATTTTTTAGGAACATTCTTGAATTCTGATATTTGTTGTGTTTCCAAACTACTGCTAATTGGTTATGAGTTGGATGACTTAACAAACAACAAACTTCAAAAAGTAGTGAGTAGTAAGCGTGTGAAAAAGAGAGGGATGAGAATAGAGTTTACAAGTCATTGATCACTGTAAGGACAGGAATGATAATTGCATAATGCAATCCAAAGCAAGTAAATACGAAACAAGAATATTGGAGTCAAGTGGCACTTTCTTCATAACAGAGGCTTGCAGAAAGCATAAAAAACTAGTTTGTTGTTTTTAGCAAGAAAACTGGATTCAAGACACAAACATTATGATTCTTCCAGAAGGTTGTCTACAGTTACTGGTGTGTGGCATTTTGGAAATACCTAGCTCTGTAGTTACTGAAAGTACTACATAAAGTAACTAGTGCAAGTTATGCACTGGTGCTTAAGGTTCTCAAGTGCTACTAAGAACACAATGAAATTATTCACATGTACTTCTGAGATGAAATCCTCTACATATTGTTGGAAGGAAGACCAATGAAGCTGGGGTCCATTTTCCACCAAACACAGATCAAGAGGTATTATGTAACAATAATTGATGTGGGACAGGATAGGGGTATGGCAGCCTTAGGGGGCAAATATATGCTGTCAACAGTGCCATGAATAATAAAAAGAGTTTAAGAATGTAGCTGAGAAGGGAGGAAAAAAAAAAAAACACAGAAAATAACAAGAAAGACAGAAAATCCTAGGAGTTAAACCTAGGTTTCTTTAGTCATCACACCTAAAGAGGATAAGAACCCCTAAGCATCACACCTAAGGTTGGTTGCATCACACAAGCAAGATTGCATCACATAATCTCAAGAGAAAACTCCTGCTGCAAATTTCTAAATATTCAATTGACTGAATAATGGAAGAAACTACATGCATATTTATAGAGAAACTACAAGAACACTCCTAATAGAATTCTTAATTCAACTAGGATTTAGAAATTCCTAATTCAACTAAGACTTGGAAGAAGGGAAAAAAAAAATCATTAATAATAAAAGACTCCTAGAATTACTCTTAAACAAAACTTAACAAAATTGTTAAATAATTCTAAAACTGGTTCTTTCTAGTTCCCCATCAGTTATGCTTACTACAGAGTTTTATTATACACAAATCATATGTATGAACTATGAAGTACCCTTGCAGGATAAATTCAACAGGTGATGCCTTAAACCTAACAGATAGTACTTAGCAAAATAAACTTGCAATTGAAACCAGATTAAAAAAAAAAAAAAAAAACTTGTCAGCTAATCGCTGTACAGGAGCTTCCCTGCTCTGTGCTTCTTCCACCAAGCGAACAATGTCTCCAATTGCAGTCTCACCACCCGGTCTCCGCACTTCAATGGTAAGAGTCCCATTAAGGTTTACACTTCCAGCTGCAACTTGACTCTAGCACAAAATAAAGTTTCACTATATTATTTAAAATGAAATGAGGCAACTGCCAGCATAATAGGACTGAATACAGTTAATATATAATATAAACAGAGTGGTGGGAAATGGGAAAGGGAAAAAAAAAACACAAGAGGGTAGGAGGAATGAAAGCTCATTTCTAAGGACAATAAACAAAAACAAATGTAACAGCTGATAAACAATACCCCAGATATTTTGGTAACTGGAAGTGGCTCCCCCGTCAAACTGGATTCGTCAACAATGCTTCTACCAGCTCTGACTATCCCATCTGCTGGAACACGGTCCTAGAATGATTGAAGAACATTCATTGAAGGATTGATTAAGTATGTCACCAAAGAAGAAAAAGAAAAAAAATTGATAGTAGAGAAGAAATTTATGAGTTTCACTTCAATTTTAAACAGACAATGTCAAAGACACAATAACATTGTTATTTCAAGAAAAAATGTAAACTCCTGCAATATTGTGGTTTTATGGTATCACTAATAACATTTAGAAAACAAGGAAAAAGAAACTAGATTAAAACTGACAACCTGCTACATTTTTTCTCTTCTTTTTTTGGCCAACAACCTACTATGTTGAATTTCTAAGAATGGAAAAATAAAATTGAAAAATATGCTGCGTTAATTCTTTCTATTTTTCTTGTAGTTTCTCTTCTGTTATCTTTAAAAACAAAATTCTATCATAATTTTCCATAAAACTTGAGTATATTCTAAACATAAAATCAGTTTTAATAAAAATGAATAAGTAACCATAAAATGTTTCATAAAAACATATTTTTTAAATATAAATTTAAATAAATAATAAAAATGAAGTAATATGAATCATGTATATTTTGATAAAAAAATTTCTGTAATTTATTTCAGTGTTACAGAAGGTGCTGCTGGGCATTAGTTAGGTGCCAAGCCACTGTACAGCACCAAGGCAAGCCTAGGCATTTTTCCTTTTTCTTTTCTTTTCTTTTTTTTCAAGTTAAAAAATGAAAAATAAAAAATTGCACAAACTTAAAAAGTAAAGGACTGCACCAAACAATTTACAGAACTTGAAGGACTAAACCGCAAAAGAAAGCCATACAGTGCCATTTTTTAACACCTATCATGGCCCTTCCTTTTCAAAGAACAAATCAACAAACCAATAAATCAGGATTTTCAGTTTTGGTAGGTCAAGCTTCGATCCTCTATGAATGAGTGTCCCTCCACCATTCCAGACTTTTTGCCAACAATGTTCGAAGAACTTTCTGGTCTTAATTCTTAGATTAAGCCATCATTTGCTAGTGGATATGAGAAAAACATTTCAGTTTTGACCCACCACCTCCCAGCCTAGGTGCAGTGGGAGGATGCTGCCTTGCACTAGGCAGCACCTAGTGGCACCTTTTGCAACACTGATTTATTCATTCAAGTTTAGTCACTAATAGAAAACAAAAGTTTATCAAATTGATAAATTAATTACTATCATCATCATCATCATCATCGTCATTATTATTACTATAAACTTAAATTAATTTTCAATTTATTAGACCCAAAATACAAACCACAAAAAGGAAACCCTAACTTTTTGCATCCTAGTTTAGGAAGTGAAAAAGAAGAATGTCTGATAACATAAGGCAATAAATAAGATTCTGAAAACAAATATCATTTAGAAAAGATCAAATTTAAGAAAAAATAAATCAATAGGTAACTTACCTTGGGTTTGGGAAGGCAGCACATTTGAAAAGCAGAACATATGAGATAAGAAACAGATCAAAGTGTGACAAGCAAAAAAAGAAATGATTAAAGCATGAGTACGTACTCCAGGTAATACAACAATTTGGTCTCCTACAGAGAGACTGCTACATGGAACTTCAACAACTGAATCCCCATTATTCACCTCACCATTAACCATTAGACGAGCTTTTGAAGGCAGGATACTCAAAAGTCCTGTCATATCACTGGTTGCTTTAATTTTTGCCCTCTGTTCAAGATTCCTTCCCAACAAAACAAATGCTATTAACATAACTGGCTCCTCAAAAAATGCCTTCCAACCCTGCAAAAGCATTTTTATTTCAAAATGACTGCATTATAAATTAAATGTGCCACTCATAGTCCACCATCATCTCACTTTATTGAAGCACCAGAATCACTAAACTAGAGTCTACTAAGGGAATACTATTCATTTCAGTAATTCTGTTCACAGGATTGAGGTTATATTTTTTCAATTACTTAGAGTTTGATCGTCATGCCTGGTTGAAGGACTAACATGTTGAACTCCACTTACTAGAAACGAAAATTCAATTTTGACATTCCAATCATGTTAGATCCCACATATCAAATCAAAAGTCACAACCAATAATTCAATTTTGCCTGGTTTTCCTAATAGCTTTGTCACCAGTAATCAGCTCAATCTTCAAGTTTAAAGGGGTTTTCTATCCAGCAGCTATAGATCTCAATGCAAAACCACATTGCCCACCTTTTGCGTTAGAAAACAATGCTGTTTTCTTGGCATATTTTTAAAGTTTTTATTGTTCATCAGCAAAGTCATTTTTTGATTAGCAGTTCATCAGCAAAGTCTAAGCTTCAGTAGTTATTGTATCGTGTTAGCTTTGTTTTTGGAGTTCATAGGTGTACTTATAATCTTGAAAGGTAGAAACAAAGAAAAAAAAGAGAGCATATTTTCAATGAATCCCTTCTAAATAGAAAGGTTTAGAATGTTTTCCCTCCAATCTCTCATTAAGTTCTAGGATCTAGGTGCCTTTAATTGCAAGATGGTAATCTCTTCTTCCATGTTAGCAACTAGCAAGTAGCAAACATTTTAATGTATTCCAAAGTAAGCAGTATATATAGCATCTTTAACCTGTAACAGCTAAATGCTAAAATAAAGAAAGTTTACAAAATCAATTGAAAGCTTGTATGGAACAACTGTAGTAAGTAGTGAGAGTAGACTGAATACCTTTTGCTCAAATCTAAAAACACATTCTACATTCACAAAGACTATTAGAGACCAGAAATGAGAAGTTTCCTGTTTAAGTTAAAAAAATCAATAGACTTAACAGTATATTAGCATTAAAGTGATTTGACATCAATAGTACAAACAAAAATAGATATTTAAAACCAAGTTACTGATTATGGAACTTCATTGACAAGCACAGATACACAAGAAACATATGGAGGAAATAGAGCCATGCCCCAACTAAACAATCATTACTTACCAGTTTTGGTATTAAGGCAGCAAAGGAACTAACGGTGAACGATGATAATGCCCCAAGACCAACTAACGTATTCATGTTTGGAGCTCCCTTAAAAAGACTTTTTACACCATCAAGAATAAGTTGACGCCCAGGGCCAAGCAAAGTAAACAAAGACAATGACAGATGAAACCCAGTTGAATGAAACACATGCACCCATGACACCTTAGCTCCAAATATATGAGACAGATGACCTATGAGGCATACAGCACACAAGGCCCAGGAGACTGCAAGCTGATGACCTAAGACCCTCAAGGCAATCAGGGGTTAAAATCAGCATACTCAGTCTATTAACTAAAAAGAAAAAGAATGTACAGTATAAGCACCGACAAAAAAAGGAATGTAAAAGTATACCTACCACTTTCTTTTAAGCGATTATGCTTATCCTCCATCTTTCTTTCAAAAACCTTGAAGAAATCATCTCTCCCTGTATCTGCTAGCCAGAAAAAACACATACTGTCAATTTATTAGATGAATAGATTGATGGATGGGAGTGCAAACACAGTGAATAATGATATCTAGCTGAATAGAATTTTTGGAAGCATTTTAGAGTTTAGATAACCTAAATGATTTATTATAAGTATATATTTTCTCAAGCAAATTTGGTGGCAAGTAAACCACTCACTGAACACGATGAGCTTGTGATTAACTCACCACACATTCCTTAAGAATTTTTTTTTTTTTTTGATCAGCAGTCTTAGGAATTAACAACTAGGCATTGCAATATGAATATCTAAATCATATTGACTTGTTAACAATTTTAGTTAAAGCTTAATATTTCTCACTCGCAGATTAAGGTCATAACAACCATTTGGATGAGATATGGCTATCAAGGGTTACTATCACAAAAATAACCAATGTATTCTAAAAAATTTAAAGCATATATCCATGATGTCAGTTCTCAAAGGATTCAGTTCCTGCTGTCAAAAGTTAACTACAAATGACCATATATTAGAACCAAACTCTAACTGGTAGCTGCTATTAAGAATAATATGATAATATGCTTGTACAGGGGAATGCCTCTTAAAATTTAACTAATTATCTCAGGAAAAAGTTTCCTCAGCAACTACAGGGTAAATGATCAGATCCCATATCCTAAAATTGGCCTGAGGAATTCTCCACTGATCTGGAAAGCTTCCACAGAAACTACATCATTAAGAAGAAAAGAAAAGCAGAGGTACTCTACGTGAAAACTTTTTTGGCTATTTACAAAATATAAAATGTGATGTTTATTCACAAAATACACACCCGCAAGACTATATGTCAACAAACTACAAAATTAGTCATTCCAGGAAGATAAAAAAAACTAGAGTTGGAGAACCATACAAACACAGATATAGCTTAGCTTTCTTCTTTTTTCAAAGCTTAAATTAGAAGCTGAACCACCTCCTTTGATTCATTGTATTATTCATTGTACAACCTATACTTCTCATACACAAACCCTGCATGAAGTTTCAGGGTACAATTATAAAAATTCAAAAAGACAGGAAGGCATTGAATACTCCCTTCAATCTCTAGAATAAACATACCATTAGTTTTTCCTAAAACAAATACAGAACCGGTTGTTAAACCTTACAAGTGAACTACAACTTTTCAGAATGAAAAACTCCTCAAATTCCTGATATTTCCTATGTGATTGCTCACAACAGATTCTCCAAAAGATAATCGTCCTTTGGGATTGAAAAATCCTCTCCAAAACCAATCTGCCAAAACTGGCCTCTGTTAGGAACCTACTCAAAGGATAAATTGCAAGATTAATATTAACTTTGGAGCCTATATTTCAGCATCTAAATGAGATTTATGAGCTTCTTCTAATATGAACAAGCCATGTGAATTTGAGTCCTGGTGAGTTAGAGACATACCATAAGGAATTATGGTTGCTCCTCAAAGAAACTCTTTGCATTATTATGGTGAGACATCTCCTTCCATAGCTCCCTGACCTGCCACTAAACCCACCAAACTTCACATAAATCATAATGAAACCCTGAATATATTAGCTCTCTCCGACTTATCAAGGCTGCAGTACAAGATCGTTTTGGCAGATCAAATATTTTATTCCTTAACATGTTTCTAATAAAAATTAATTCATCATTGTATATAAGAAAAAAAAAAGATAATTCTTCAATCTTCTTCCAAAAGTGAACCTGGTATACTGTTTTTCAGTTACACTAAGTACCCTCTTTGTTGCAAGGTTAACCAGAAATCTAAAGCAAAATACATTACATTAAAGATCCAAACCCTAACAAAAAAAACCCACTTAGGATCCAAATTATATGTGAAAAGAAAGAAAAAGAGACAGATTAGGACCAAAAGATAGGAAGAAAGATAGGAAGGATCTTTTGGGAGGCAAGCATTGAGAGAAAATATAAAATTAGAGAGCAAGTGATGAGATCATCTGTATGAAGGAATGGATGCAAAGAACTCATGTCTACATTTTTTTCTTCAGTACTTTGGGCTATAGATCAATTCTTACAACCATAACAGCCTAAAAAGGCCATCTGATGAGAATCTGAGAACATCTAATGGACCTATCATCTGCAATTACAAACAACTATCCCAAAAGTTTCAAAAATGGATGTACATCTAATGCCCTTTCTCTCATAATGCTTTAATGCAAAGCATAAACAGGCACAGCATCAACAGAATTTGCAAGGCACTGCAACTTTGCAACTTAACATACGCAAAACACAGCCAAATAACAAATAGGACAATGATGAGATTTGAGAATGATAATTACCAAGATTATCCATGGGATAAAACATCTAAAGAGTGCTTACCCCGTAAGTTAGATTTAAAACCACATGTGGTTAAATGCTTTGCTAGTGCCTCTCCTAATTCTTGTTGCCAGTTTGGTGCATTCTTGGCTTCAGAAACAGGCCATACTATTGCTGTTTCAGTTGTGAGATTTACACTAGCAGAAGACACTTGTGGCTGCACATAAAAGTAATAAATGAGAATCACGTTTATAACTACAGTCCTACACAACAGCAGGAGTGGTTCTGTAATAGAAAAAAAAAAATTAGAAGAGTTATTATTTAGGAAGTTTTCAATTCAACAAAATTGGAATAAATGAGTTAAATACCATCTTTTAGTTGTAACATATCTGAAGGAACTTTAAACAAAGGAAATAATCTCATATACCACCATTAACAACAAAAACAACCTTTTCTGTAAGAAAAACTTTCAAATCTGACCACTTCTGAAGAGAATTGAAAAATAATAAGATATAAGGAATAGAGGATTTAATTTACCATTTCCATTAAGAAACATTTAGTAGTAGACATAAAAACTGACACAGGAAAATGTCAATTCTCAATAAATCAGTTCGGCAAGCAGAATTTTCCTGCATTTTGCCATCAAGCAGTGGATCCACCAAGAATATACATCCTCAATGAAGATAAAGATTACAATTTTCCGATCAGGTAACGAGAAGTACTTACTTGACTTTCCAGTATTCTTTTCACACTAGCTGCACATCCACCACATGTCATTCCCTAAAATTTCACTAAAATTCAGTAATATTGTAACAAAATAAAATCAGTACGAACACTTAAATCTAATCTACTAAAGTACCCAACACAATCAATACATATATAATAATGAAAGCAAAGCAAAAAAAGCAAAGGCATCATACTCCAACATCAAGAATGATCACATCAGGAGACAAAGCAGGAAGCTCATCAGTTCCTCCAGCTCTCAATTTAGCAGTCGAATCTCTACCTTCCGATCCATTACCACCGCCTCTTCCGCCGCCTCCATTGCCGAACACGCCGCCGCCTCCACCGCCACCGGTCCCAAACGACGCTGCAGAGCTGGAAATGCACTCCAGGCGGCGCTGCAGTTGCAAAAGCAGTACTGAGGCACACAAGCCACGCAGAGAAGATGGAGGCGAAGAAGAGAACGAGGTGGTGACGGGGCGAACGAGACGGCGCTGAGTCAGCAAACGAGTATGGAGGCATCGAACGAGGTGAGGAGACTTGGTCCTGGAGAGATGGCGGTTGAGGGCTTTGGATATGGAGAAGAGAGTGGATGCCGTTGATGCAGGGGTTGTTACTGAGAATACGGTTTCCATGGAGATGAGAAGAGTTTTCAGCTTCCACTTCTCCTACCTGCAATCTTTGGTTTGCTCCCTTGACTTCTGAGCAGCAAGATAAACAGTAGCCACTTGGATTATGAATTTACTAATTTAGCCTTCATTCGAATTAAATATTAGTTTTCAGCGCTTAGTTAGGGTTTAGCGATTAAAGTCCAAAAGAAAATCCTTGCAGCATCCTCTCTGTTATTCGTTTAACAAAGCTTGCGGCGTTGTCGAAGTAATTCTGGTACTCATACCTCCATCTATTCAATCTTTGTTTACTTTACAGAAAAAAAATCATCATGCAAATTACAACAGTTTTAGAGTTTCTTCAAATCTTATGTTACATTGTTCTTTGTCTTTGCCTTTCTTTTATAATTTATGAAACCACCCACCTGCCAGCATCCTATCTCATAACTTAATCAGTTAATATCTAGAAACGAAGCTGAATAATAAAATCATGAAATCGTAAGAAATAAAATTTGGTTTGGTATTTTTTTTTTTTTTTTGAACATATTAGAAGGGGCGGTTCGAAACCGGCCGGAGGGGGGGAAATGCACCACTGGCTGATGCCAGTGGACCTTAAGGGCCGGGTGCATCTGGTTTGGTATTTGATAAAGTTGGTTCTGTTGGTCTGCATTTTTGTGTCATTTGGTATTTGGTATTCGGTTAGGTAACCGCATTTTATGTATATCATTCAAAATGCCAAACTAACCAAAATAATGTCTAATGTTCTGGTATTGATATTCCGATTTTTTCCTGTACTACCTTTTGAGTTTTTGGATTGCATCTTCTAACGTAGAATGTGTTTGCAGAATCTTAGATCAACAAATTAAAAAAAAAAAAAAAAAAAAAGGGAGGTACCTTAGTTGATCTCTCCATGAAGCTTCTAATGCCATCTTCCTTTGACAACATCAAGGAATTTGCTTTAAAAACAGACCCTTCCATTTCAAAGGTAATTTTCAAGGAAATCTAATGTCAAGATTTTCGTTCAAACCATTATTTGACTATTCATCTTATTTATTTTGTTTTTTGTCCTCATTGTTTTTAATTAAATTATGGATATCCAGATTGAGATCAAGAGTTTTCTAGAATCAATGCATGGCCTTGAAGTCAAAAAGGTTCGGACCCTAAATATGGAAGGAAAGAAGAAGAAAAGAGGGGGTCATTTGATTGCAAGACCCAAGTACAAGAAGGCCTATGTGACACTGAAAAATCCATTGTCCTTTCCCTCCAGTATTATCCCTAGTCATGCTATTGAAACGGAGAACAATATCCTGAGTAAGCAGATCATCTAGTATCAAAAAGGACAGTGAAGATCTCAACCAAACACCTTGTGGCAATCCTTCATCTCTGCTGCTTTCTCCTTAATAATCAATTAATCGTCTTTAATCCAAAAGGGAAGTTTCACGGAAGGTGCTCTAGGCCAGGCTCATGGGGATTTGTCTAAAGGAGGTAAAAAGATAAGCTAGGGTTTTTTCAGGGGATGAAAAAAGGGAGGAGGTCTTTTGTTTTGAGAGTAGGCTAAGGGATTCTATTTTTCAAAATTCTTTTGGGGATTGTTATTTGATCTATAACGTGGATAATCCAAGCTAGATTATATTTAAAAAGACAAACACTTCAATTTCCAGCCATCCTTGGTTCCTTGGTGATCCAAGACCTCCATTCTTGTGGTCATCGAGTCTTCTGATTACTCACCCAAACTAAATTAGATTTAGGGTTTTGGAAGCTTTGTATGCAAAGATTTTGATTTCTTCACCTCAACATTGTAAGCAACTTTCAATTTCAATAAAATCTCAAATTTTCAATCCACTTTTATCTCGATTTTTTTTTTAAAATTTTGTCCTTAAATTTTAGAAATTGATAAAGTGTTAGTGTAGGTCTTGACTGGGATAGCGAACCTAATATATTTTGGCTTAGTGTCCATGGCCCGATTTGTTTGCTGAGCTATAAGGTTGAAAATAAAGTATCTAATGGATTTATGATGTTTTTTTATCTTTGAATCCATCTTGTGAATTTGTTTGTATTTTTGTGAGTTTAATTAAATTTTGATGAATTGGTTGCATTTTGTAATTATTGATAGATATCTTGAGATTGTAATTTTTTTTTCCCTTTTTGTGATTTCTGTTGATGTGCAATGTTCTTCATATCTTTGTTTGAGACTTTTGAAATTTCCATCTTTCTGTTGATCTTCATATGTAACGGTATTTTGACTTTTCTCTCATCTAGTACAAGTTGGTCTTTTAAGGATTGTTCATTTTGCTTGACATAAAAAGGGTTATGATTTGCTTTGTTTTTACTTGCCCTTAGTTAACTTTCAATTCATGTTCTACAAAATCAAAGTTAATATCTACTTAATTTCCCACAAGTTGTAAGTCCCCAATTTACTAATAGATTAGGTTTTAGTTTAGGTGTTAGATTACATGTGTTTTGTTATTTGTGTTATTATTCAAATGGCTTCCATTATGAAGTGTATGAGTGGAGGATCTGTGGGGTTCTTAATTATGGGAATAGTTTGTTTTGCTTCCTTGGATTTATCAAGTGAATGTAGTTGAAACTTATAATTTGCTCTCAGTGTTTTCTTCTTCTTGCTCTTGTTCCTCATCTTTTGCAATCTTACCCCTTTCAACCCTAACTTTCTTTCCATTCTAACATGTACAATATTTTAGGAATTGAAGGGAGAAGATTCAGACTTTTGTGTCTCTTTTCACTTGTTTTGGCATGGACCACATTGGCTTGTTCCTTGAATGTCATGTATTTAAGCTACAAACTTTGTTATGTGAGCTAATCTTACTTCATTGGAGTAATGTTGTAATTCATAAGCTTCAAAACTTGAATCTATTATTGTTTGAAGTTTCTATCATGTATTTTTCTTTTCTTTTGTTTATTGAGCCACCGATAGCAATTTGGATTAATTGTTTTGAAATTCCATATGAATGTTGATGTTTGGTTATAAATCATAATTATATACTTTGTTGTATGTTTTCCTTGCCAAAGTTTCTACTTGGATTGGTATTTGTTACTTTCATCTTGCCTTGAGAATTCTTGAAATGTGATTTGATTTCTATGCCTTGTTTCTATTCTCCAATTTTGCTTTATTCCACTTGTCTTTCTTTTCAATTGGATTGGTTAGTCTTATTATGTAAATTGAAACACATTATGGATTATAAATAAAAACATATAATAAATAAATAATTAAATAATAAAAAAATCTAGTTAATGAATCAAATTAATATTTTAATTTTAAAGTATGCAATGTCATGATATATAGAGGATTGTGAGAAGCACATTTCTTTTCTTATTTCCAATTGTATCTCTAAGCCCTAATCTCTGTATAGATTTAGTTTTAAGTGACTTGTTCTCACTTATAATTTAAATAAGTGGTAACATTCACTTTTTCTTAATTTTCACACTTAATTTTTAAATTTCATCATTATTTAAATTTTAAGTAGGCTATCAACACATATTCATCCTTTTCACTTTTAATTAAAGTTACATTGCAATCTCAATGCTAGCTCTTTTTTAAAGCTAGTCACATAAATTTTTTTTAGTTCTAATTTAGATACCTTAAATCAAAATCAATATGTTGTTAAGTTTAAAATGATAATTTTGTCATTTTTCTAAATTAAATTTAACTTTCTAAATTAATTTATAGCAATTTATTAAAGATTCAGTGTTTAAATTTTCAATTGAGATCAAGCTAATAAATAAATATCTAGTGAAAATCGATTTATATTTGTAAATTGAAAATAACATCTCTTTCAAACCAATTATATATTATGATACAAATAACATAACATCTCAAGCAAATCATGTATAAAAGACATGCTTATATTTCATAAAAGTAATACATGTATTCAAAATCAATTATGTCATGCTAGTCATATATAATGGGTTAAATCTCAATACTATCTAAAGAATAGTTCACAACATAATCGCAAAACCTTAGTTTAACACCAAGGGTAAAACTATAATTTTACTTATTTTACATCACAAATAGCAGAAACACAAAAACTAAGTTAAAGAAAATGGAAATGATCAAGAATCTATATAAAATAATGGGAAACAATTGAAAGTTAGATTATAAAAATTTATGAAAATACTTATGCTATGGCACGCATCATGTCACATGTTGTGACACGCTTCACTTGTCACATCTCACGTCATGTAATTGTGGCATGCCATGGCATAGCATAACCCCTGAAATGGTATGGGGTTGGCATTGCAATGTGTACATAACTGTGCCTGAGGCTATGTTACCATGTGCATGCCCTGGTGCTAGGTTCGGACCACTCACACATGCCTCGATATAGGGTGGCACTATAAACCTTGAGGCACAGTACCATGCTCGATACCATAAATTCGATATAGCTTTCTAATTAAAATTTATTTCAAAGCCCAAAAATAATTCTAGAAAACTTGGAAAAGATTGATAGAGAAGATGGGGATTGAGGTTTTAAAGGTGTAATAGAGGAAGACATAGGAGAAGGAGAGAGAGAACTAATTTTAGGGGAGGCAATTTGGTTTGGGATAAAAAAGTGTAATATCCCAAAATTTTGGGAATTTTATCAATTAAGTTGAGGACCTTTGTGTGAGAAAATGTTATTGAGGGGCTTAATAGTCAAATTTTTAAAAGTTGGGGGACTAAAAAGAAAGTAAATTAGGATAAGGATGAATTGCTTTTTCTTTTCTTTTTCTTCCTTCTTTCCCTCCCCATCAGACCCGCGTGCCCTGCTCTTCCTCTCCCCCGACCCTCTGCACCCGACGAGCTCCCCCCAACTACCGCCACCCATTTTTCGGCCGGAAATCCGGCAAAGCTTGGGGATTTCTCCCTATTTTCTTGTCTTAGAACACCTGTTGAACCCA